GCGTAAAAATTCCCGTTTTTCCTTAATTTTTATGTTGTTTTTCCCGGCGCTTGTGAAAACTACTGGAAAATGTTTATCTTTGACCCCCCAAAGTACCAACTAGATTCACTTTCCTATCAGAAAAGGTACTATTAAAGAAAATCGAAGCACTTTTACTGTCCCAAAACGTGATGACAGACACAAAAATATAAATAAAAATATAAATAAAAATATAAATAAAAAGGTGGGCAAGTGGGTGTCGCTCTGCTGTACAGTAGGTTACAAGTGGGTCACTGTATAATGGATGGTATTAAATTTGAATTCAATGATATAATATCATTGTATAAGAAAAACGATTCTTAGCGGTGACGGTATGTCAGTCTATGTATAAGACATATTATATACATATCTATGGTATTAAACCAAAATTGACCTATAATAAATTACAAACTAATCATATCACAATATCCATTAGATACTTATAACGCGTTATACATCAACAAAAACCGTGATACTATCATAGATATATAATAGTACACTTTAGAAGTTTCAAGTACCCACGAATAATATTATTCAATCAAAACGAAATAACTAAAATCGTAATTCTTGGTTTAAATATGAAATTTTGTCTAAATTTGAAATTAAAATGTCTGTAAAAAATAAGTGTGTTTATATATTTTTTAGATTTTTTGGTTACAGTATGAATTATTTAAGAGAATCTTTGTTTTAAATTTTCAACTCTTAGTTATAAAAACTGAACATTTTATAATTTTCGAGATTTTGATAAATTTTGTCAAAATTCCAACTTTAAATGCTTATAAAAAAAAATCATGCCTATGTATTTTTAATATTTTTCAACTGCTATTGTAACAATATATCAGGAGCCTTGTATTAAATTTTTACACTTTTTGGCCCAACAGATACACCTTTATTGATATTTATAGAAAAAAAAACTAAAAAAATTGAAAGCTGTAAATGTCCATAAACAGCTCAAAAAGAGTCAAAATATTTTCAAAATTGTATGGTGTATAGAAAATGCTAATTTAAAGATTCAGTGAAATTTTCATGTATCTACAGTTGTTCGTTTTTGAATTGCAACAAAATAAGGAAATCGCTACATGAGTAATCGAGTGAAAATCCAATGTTGTAAAAATTTGAATTTCAAACGCTCATAAAAATTTAATTTGACTGTCCGGTAGAGATTTTTTTATTGATAAAGGTAGATAATCTTATAAGGAATCTTGTGTTTCATTTTCAAATCTTAGATTTAAAAAGAAAAATTTTTACGAATTCTTAACTCAAAATAATTTGCTAATTTTCGTGATTTTTCCATATTTTGTCAATTTTTGAACTTTAAATGCTTATAAAAAAAAATTGTGACTAAGGATTTTTAATATTTTTCATCTGCCTTTGAAACAACATATTAGGAGCCTTCTATTAAATTTTCAAGCTTTCGCAACCAACAAATAAAATTTTATTGATATTTCTAGAAAAAAAACTAAAAAAAAATGAAAAATGAAAATGTCTCTAAACAGTTCAAAATAAATCAAAATATTTTGAAAATGTTATCGTGTATAGAAAATGCAAATATAAACAACCAGTGAAAATTTCATGTATCTACGTTCATTTGTTTAAAAGTTACACCAAAAACCAAATTCGATTTTGTCAAAAACCGATTTTGCGTAAAAATTCCCGTTTTTCCTTAATTTTTATGTTGTTTTTTCCCGGCGCTTGTGAAAACTACTGGGAAATTTATACTTTTGACCCCCCAAAGTACCAACTAGATTCACTTTCCTATCAGAAAAGCTACTGATGAAGAAAATCCAAGCACTTTTACTGTCCTAAAACGTGATGACAGACACAAAAATATAAATAAAAATATAAAAATATAAAAATATAAAAATATAAAAACATACATCATTGTAAAACCAATACATTCATCGCTCCGCTCAGAATCTAAAATATAAATAAAAATATAAAAATATAAAAACATACATCATTGTAAAACCAATACATTCATCGCTCCGCTCAGAATCTAAAACACACATCATTGTAAAACCAATACATTCATCGCTCCGCTCAGAATCTAAAATATTAATATTTTAATAAAGTTATTTCTGGTTAGGTTAACAATATTTGCACTACCTAGGCACATATAATTATTTAAATTAGGTAGGTACAAGATACTGAAGACTCAGTCACTCACGTAGTTTGGTAGTCTAGTTCATTGAAGATTGAAAAGCCCTGTTATTATTTTTAAATGTTATATTTGTATAGCCGTATAGGTACTATAACACTAGTGGCTTGCATATATTTTTACACATTTATTAAAGGGGAAAACTTATTAATGTTTATTTAATAATTTGGTACAACCAAATCAAACTAATTCAACCTTTTAAAATGTAATAAAAGTTGTATGTACCTACACAAATATTAAAGTAGGTAAAAAATAATACATACATGCCTACCTTCATAGTCAGAGGTAGGTAGGGATTACACGATCATAGAAAATATTTAAATTTTACTATGATGAGCCCCCCACATGTTAAATTTCTATCTATGCACAGTACCAGCTTTTATGTGAAAAAACTGGAAAACAATCGTAGGTATCACATGACACATCAGTTGCGCTCTAAATGTCATTTAGTCGTCCTGAATGTAAAACATGACTTCTTAAATAAAAAAAAAAATACACTAACAAAATTAAAAAATTTGACCAAACTGATACTGCTTTAAGCTTTAAAGGCGTTACAAGTTCCTATATATAGCTTATGATAATAGTCATTACTCATTATACAATTTTAAATATAGGATTAGGTGCATAGGCAACTTCAAAAAAAAAAACATTAATTATTTAGGAAAATCAAATACGGCAGAGGTCTCTAAACATTTTTGATGTTTTTTTTTCATTATTTTTACATTGTTTAAATCAATATTTTATGACTTCATTATGAAATTATGAAGTTTATATTGAAATTACTCTACATTATATTATTAGGTAAAAAGGTAGCTGTATAGTAATCGGTAGGTACTAATTACCATTTGTTTATTAAAATAAATCTGAGTTCAAAGTTGTTAAATTATCCAATTATAAGAAAATTGAATAGTATATTTTATAATAACTTATTTTATTTAGGAAGTCATATTCTACATTCAGGACAACTAAATCACATACAGAGAATTAAATATCACCGTAATAAATAGTTACAAAAATGTCAATGTTTAACAATCCTAAAATAATTATTTTCAGAATTACAATCAAAAATCTGAAATTCGAGCACATTTTTTTTTCTAATTTTTTATTTTTTTGATTGGCTGTAACTTGGTCAATTTTGGACTTAGAAAGTTGATTCAACTACCAAAATTCATTAAAAAAATAGGAAAAAAATAATTAGTGGTTAAAGCAGGGGGTTTCCATTTAAAAAAAAAAAGTTGACATGCGCATGCGCGTGACTAGTTAAGTAAAAAAAATTCAAAGACCATAAAAATGTGTATTTTTATGTCATAACAACTGCCAAAAAACGGAATTCAAATAGCAGGTCTCTACGCAAAGATATTGAGTGTTCTCGATTACCGTTTACACACTGTATACATATATATAAGATATTTACTATTTTGTTATTAAATATAAAACGATATAAATATGTTATTTTATTAAAAATAAACGTTTTGTTTCAGTAAATATATAAGTAATAGTTAATCCCGTACCTATACAAGTATTTTATATCTGACCGCACTATATTATATATTATAACTAAGGTTAAAATAAGTAGGTACCTATAATCCTTATCGACTGACCCTATTGCAGTCAATTACCCCCTCAAAAAGGAACTATTTCTACTATTTCTAGTTTTTGAGACTAGATTGGTATCTCTATTCTCTACTAAACATGTCATGATAATTAGTTGGGCATGTTCTTCAATGTATTATCATGAGTGAACAGGATAAATATATGTTAGATGTATTATCAATTTAAAGTTCACCGAGCGTAAATAATACATTTTAATTTGTATGATAGCCGATACGAAGAATTTTAAATTGACCTACTTATAACCACCACCACGATTTAAGAACAACAAATCAAACATAACTCTTCAAAACATAGTCAAAGAATTAAATATCGTTATTATTGTACTTTAAATTAAGGCGGGGTGTTTATATCACCACAGACCACTGTTACCACTTGTCATATACCTACATTTATTAAAATGGACCAAGTTTACACAGAAGGCTTAGATGGCCCAAGGGGATTTAGTTGACAAGGGTACTAGTTGACCCATGGAGATCTAATTGATCCCGGGAGATCTAGATAACCATGGGGATCTTGTTAACCGGGGATCTAGGTGATACGTCACCGTCGTTTCTATAGTATTCTATGGTAATATCACAGATCATTTAATCTGTGATAATATATACAATAATATTATCTATTTTGTTATGATAATATTCACATTCACATTTTCCACTGGTTTTACAAAAGATTTATTGGAATTCATTCGTATTATTAACTAGTGATTTTGAGTTTCTGTTCTTGTTGATTGCATTTCTTTATGTTATTTTAATATTTTAAACTATTTTTTAATAGTTTATTTGAAGGCGGTTATAATAGTGCTACAACCTCAAAGCCAAGACTTAAATAAATTTACAATTTAAAATGCAACATATACGAAAAATACCAATATCCACTAGTTGTGAACTAGAAAAATTCGAGTACACAAAATCGTCTTATGAGGAAATGTTTCAAGTATTACAATCCTTACGCCAGTAAGTAGGAGGTGATTTAAACTGCCAGATAAACATTAATGACAAATGTTTGTTTTTAGACATGGGGTTTTTTGTGATATTAGTCTGGAAACAGATAATGGGACTATAATATTTGGACATAAAGTGGTTTTAGCATCGGCTAGTCCATATTTCCATGCAATGTTCACAAATTTCGCAGAAAAGAATAAAGATCATGTTGTTATAAGACAGTTGGATTCTTACAACTCTTAGTAGACTTTATGTATTCAGGAAAAATCATGGTCACCGAAAAAAATGTACAGGTAATATTACTATAATAAACAAACTTTGAATTTGTTTTAGACAAAAAAATTTATTGAAACTTTTTATTATTTTTTTCTCAAGGTTTTGATACCAGCAGCTAATCTTCTGCAGTTAAACGATGTAAACGAGACATGCTGTGCATTTTTACAGAAACAATTGCACCCTACAAATTGTCTTGGTATAAAAGCTTTTGCTGATTTGCACAGCTGTACAAAATTATTAACAAGTTCAGAATTGTACATTCAACAAAATTTTGCGTATGAAATATTTTTTATGATTATGATATTTTAAGAAAATTGTATAATCAGGGCCGTAGCAAGGGGGGGGGCAAGAGGTGCCTACGCCCCGGGCGCAATTCCTGGGAGGGCGCAAAAAATGAAAAATTTGCATTTTCTCGGGAGGGCGCAAAAATTATAAATTTTAATTTTATGTTAAAAATTACAGCGGTCAGTGTTGTATATTTTATTTACAAAAACTTCAACGCCCTTGAGGTATATTAATTGAAGCATAGTTGAAAATAATATCTAATAATTATTATATATTTTATATAAAAGTATAAAACCAATAATAGTTAGTAAATACAATCTATCAACGTACAGGAAGACCTTACACTTAAGAAATAATTCTTAATAATTGATTAAAAATAATTACTATTTTATGGAAATGTGGAATTACCAATTATGTTTGCGTTGTCGCCGAGCATTTCATATATTCTTATTTCTTATACATCTTATAATATATCTATTATTATTTATTATTAATATTGTTATGATTATGTCACGTGATTACGTGATTGCGAATCGATGAGTCCGTCGCAATGTTTACAAGTTTTGTATTTATTATTATTTTTAATCATATGCGATATGCGCGAGCGCGCCAATTGCCAGTATTTATTTATTATTCGTCGTCAAATCGTCTCGTTTACGTACTTTTTTTTGTAATATTATCTTTGTTGGGCGTTATTTCCCGTGTTAAACGTAATATTTTTTACAAATTATTAATTATAATATCGTGGCCGCAGTAGATCACTGTTAATTATATTTTAATATTTTATATTAGCAGCAGGTGGCCAGCAGGCATAGCCAAATTGTGAGTTTATTTAATACATTTATTTATTATTACTTTTTCTCAACAGCTCAAATAGCTGTATATTTATTATTTATTTATGGTATTGGTAAAAGGGCCGTAATCTATTGTTTTCTGTATTATCTATTTGTTGCTATGAACTTTTTCCATACAGTTTATTCGAGATATTTAGTATTTAAACCATTACACATCGACACCATACCCAATAATTAACAGTAAATAATATACAGTGTTTAGTTTTTTTATAAATTAAAATACTTAAGGGCGCATTTTGAAGTTTCGCCCCGGGCGCAATATTCGGTTGCTACGGCCCTGTGTATAATACATTAATGTTATATTTTGATTCTTAGAAAAATGGTTGAGGCTGATGAATTCCTATCCTTATCATCTGAACTGTTAGTTAAGTTGATCTCCAGTGATGAGCTTACGGTGCCATCTGAAGAAAAAGTAAACTAAAACTAAAATTGATAATTGTTTTATTTTAGTATTAGGGAATAAAATATGGAACTACTTTCATATATAATATAATTTTTTTTTAATTAGAACCCAGATGTATTGTTTTTCTAAAAAATATATACATGACACAAATAATGTCTTAAAAAATTATATTTTAATGATCTAATACTTAAAAAAACACTTCTAAAATTTGTATTTAACTTTAAATTTGAAAACTGGTTAGGTTAGATATGTTAGGTATTTAAAAAGTTTGTTATAGCCAGGTAAAATTAAATATTATGTTGAATATTTATGTTAATATTCAAACCTGTATTTTTATAAGAGTTCATTGCAAAAAGTAAACACGTAAATTCTGAATCAGTGAAAACAAACTCAACTAAAATTGTTACCATGAGGACTTGGTATTACAGTTAACAGCATGACATATACCTATTGTAAGTTTATTTATTTCTGTAGGTATTTGAATGTGTTATTCGTTGGGTAAAACATGAATTAGATTCTAGAAAATGTATTTTACCCCAATTATTGGAACATGTTCGTTTACCATTTACATCGGAACATTTTATATTTCAAAAAGTACTTGACGAACCTATTCTTAATGATTGTCCTAAATGTAAGTTTTTCCTGTAAATATGCTTCTATTTTGAATGAATTAATATTAAATAATGTTTTTATAATTTTTAAAGGTAAAGATTATGTATTAGAAGCTTTACATTTTCATTTTCTTAAGAGAAATCAGTCAGATCAAGTTATCACTAATCCTAAATGCATCCGGTATAATCCTAGACAGCCTAGTGGTTTACTTAAAGTATAATACAGTTATAATTAATCTCCTGCAAATATTTTATTGATTTAATTTTAACAGGTTATTTTAGTGATTGGTGGATTAGGGAATAAAGCTTCAGGTAGTACAGAATGGTACGATTCAAAAATCCACCGATGGCAGTTTGGACCAACAATTATAACACCCAGTACTGATGGATGTGTAGCTGTATTAAAAGATAATTTGGTGTTTGCATTGGGTGGTAGTAGTTCTGGATCTATTCTTCAGTCTGTTGATGTTCTAGATTTATCATCAGAATCACCTTGTTGGGAATCATCTGTTGACATGTTGGTTACAAGAAAAGAATTAGGAGTTGACGTAATAAACAATTATCTGTATGCTGTAAGTTATGTTGAATTATAATTTACATTTATTTATTTAGTTCTATTGTTAAGTAGGTACATATAAATTATATAATAAATTCAAGGTTGGCGGATCTGATGGTGATAATACTTTAAGTAGTGCAGAAGTTTTCAACTTCAGTACTCAAGAATGGCGTATGGTATCTAGTATGTCTAGTACAAGAGCTGATTTTGGAGTCGGAGTACTGAATGAACTTTTATATGTGGTAAACTAATATTTTATGATTTTTAACTTTTAAAGGAGCACACATCACAATAAATAATGTCTTTAAATTATTATTTGATGCTAAATCAAAAATGTTAAATATATAAGTATTCTTAGAATTTACATTCCTTCAAATTAAAAAAAATATTGTTTGTGTTTTGTGCTCCTTCAGTACATTTATTATAAATTATCACGGTATAATCCCTAAAATAAAATATTTTAATAAATTTAAAATTTAAATCACTTGATAATATACATAAATCCTTCTATAATAATATAGGGATTAGCAAAACTAGATTTCATAATATTTAATATAAAAAAATAATCTCATTAATGTTATAACTTAATAATATTGTTAAAATTTTAAAATATATTAAATAAAATAAAATTTTGTTCAATGTAGATTTTAAGAACAATAAATATAGATTAATTGTTTATTTTTCATTAGATCATGGTTCTTTATTAGTTGATCAAGCTTGATATATAATTTATAATGAAAAAATTGTTAAACTTTTACAATATTTAATTTGATATGAATATAAATTATGAATATAAATATAAATTTGTAATTAAAAAAATTTTGTTGTAATTATTCAACGTTTCATAAATATTAATTCATTGTAAAATGCTTTGAAATATTGTATTCCAATGTTTTTTTTTCTTGGCATTGGATTTTTTTTTCTGCTAATTGTTTTATTCAATTGTGTAGGTAGGAGGTTATGATGATTTGTCAGAAGCGTTATTAAACTCTGTTGAATGTTATCATCCCAGTCTTGATAAATGGACACCAGTCGCAGAAATGTGCAAATATCGAATAGGTTTGGGTGTAGGAATTTTAGATGGAGTCCTATATGCTGTAGGTGGTGAAGATGATTCAGAAACTCTGAAAAGTGTGGAAGCATACAGACCAAGTATAGGAGTTTGGACCACAATGGCAGACATGAATTTGCCTCGAAAATATGCAGGTAAATACTCGTATAACAATTCAAAATTTTTTTTATGAAACAATGAATTTTAAATGTACTACATTTAAATTAAAATGTTAATATAGGTGTAGTTGCATTAGAAGGATTATTGTACGCAGTCGGTGGATGTAATAGATCTTCTATGTTGGATTCTGTAGAAGTTTACAATCCTATCACCAATACTTGGACCATGCTAATAACGTCAATGAATGTAGCACGGTGTTATGCGGGAGTAGTAGCTATTGATAGACCACCTCATTTTTAAAATTTGTTAGTATAAATGGTTTTTTTGTTGTTACAACAGGTATATAAATATTTTTTATAATGTATAATAATAAACTAATTGTTTTTCTATTCATTTTACAGTTTTTTAATGTTTTATTAAAAGTTAGTTGTACGATATAAATTGATAAAAAATAAAATAAATTATTAATAAGGTTTCAAATTTATTAAATAGTACCCATTGGCATTCGCTCAGCTATGGTAAGCGCTCTGTTGGATTTGTTTGTAACAACTCAAACGAGGTAACCATAGATGACAGCCTACAAATATCAAATTTGTAGAGTAAATATTATGGTGCACAATCTTATATATTATCTTGATTTCAGATTGCATATATTATATTATAATATATATTATAGAATATAGAATTATACTATCAGACTAGTAGACTACCTATTTTGATATGATTTATGATCTGCGTATCCCATAAAATATATTTGAAACACCAATTTAGGTGATAACGCTTGCAAAATTATATGTATATTGTATACAATTAAAATATCAACTCATTATGATCGAAAAATGAAAATATTTAACAATTTTCAAAACTTTTCCATTATATCACGGTAAACGAGTATGCCGCAGCATGACGGTTACCTCGTTTGAGATAGACCACCGTACAGATGCCAATACTTTTGTGTAGAAAAGTGTAAAACAATATATTATACTTGTTTTTTTCTCTTTGTTTTCAAGATCCCAGTTAACAAGTTAACCAATAAATAATATTCTATTTGGTTACCATTGAATTGAATATTTATTGGGAACTAATACAATTTGTTCACCTAGCATGTTGCCGTGTTAATGCCGCCAAGCACACATATTTTGCAGCTTCATAACCCTCCCCCAACCAAAATACCAATCATGCTTATAATAAAAATAATATGTTGTATTATTACTAAAGTTATATAGGTACATATGTTTTATATTATAATACTTAAACATTTTAACATTTATAAAATTTTTAGTCTCTGTTAGCAAAATTATTTATTACGATAAAATGAAAAAGTTATGAAGAATCTATAATCTAGATATATGAATGTCGCCTATAAAATATTTTTAAATGTTTCCGTTGAGGGAAAGTGCCACCTATGCCTCTAACTAAACTCACCTTTGCGGCTGTGCAGCATTGTATTACAATTTATTATTTCAAAATTTGAAATCAATGTTATATTACATATTTATCAAATTAAAAAAACAAATTATTTGTTACTGTTCATATTAGAAAATTACTTTATATAAAGATGTCAATTTCTTAAGTCATCAAAAAAAATTATGTATATTAATAGGTTGGTATAATATTTTTAAGGTGTTAAAAGAGTTTAAATTCATTGATAATAAATAAAATTAGATAATAGAAATTAATATTTAATTATTTTAATATATTGTGTTTTATTAAAATATGAGATATTTAAATATAAATAAATAATACAATAAGTCTGGATCAGGGTTTGCACAGGAAGCCTTAAACTCAATTAACTTTTTATTTGTTTAAGATGGAAATTTAACACTTGATAATAAAATTGTAAAATGTTAAGGTAAAGTATAAAATAAATACCCAGCAGTTATATCTACAACCCAGATAGATTACTAATTACATATCATGTTTATTTTATTGTTCCCTGATAGATAGATTTGTATAATTATACTTGTTTATTATCTTCCTTGTCACCTGATAACAAGTGGCTACTCATCAGTCATCACATAATAAATTACTCTGTATCCTAATATTCCTAATCATCTATTCAAACCTATTAATTTTTAATTGTCTGAAGTCTAAACATCCACAACAGTATTAAAGTAGCTAATAATTTGTAACCATTTTCCAGTGAAATATTTATTTACAAAATATTTATTTACATGGGAATATAACATAGAGCGCGGTTTGAAGTAATTAATAGAAAATGAATAACAAATACATAATATGTTAGCCTATCAAATAGAAACATTAATTATTATGCTCTCTAATTACTTGGCTACTTGCGGTATTAGAACAACAAATACATTTCAATTGCCATGTACAGATGAATACGATATGCTTGTAGTGTAAGACAACAATAGATCAACAGCTTGTTTTGTTTCCAAAAAAACTGTGGCTTCTTTTATCCATTCCTTAGCAACGACTCGTGAACATCCTGTCAGCAAGTTCAAATATCGCATTGCTTGTAAAATATTGTCCCTATCAACGCAGTACCTGCAGCAGAATAAAAAGTGGATTTACACAAATGTTTTATAAATATTTATTATTAAACTGCTTTAAGTACCTAGCTCTCTCGACAATTTCGTAAGTGTTTAATTCTAGGGGATCAAATTCTTCATTGTTCACTTCATTAGGTGAAATATGTGAATGATGGACAACAAAAAGGCTAGCCAAATAACTGAATGCCATTAAAAGTAAACTGAAACTATCATCCGGTATAAGAGCAGTCTCATATACTCTTTTTTCTACTTGGTTAAAATCTTCTTTTAACTGGCCTTTAGAAAAAACACCATTTTCAAGAGCTTTGGTCGGAAGAGCACTTATTACTTCTTCCACTATTGAATCCGAACCTAAAAAATACATCATAAGCATGATCACAAACTCAACTCATAGACTTATGTGTTATGAATTATGGTTAACATAAAAATAATTAAAATATAGTCATATTGTTACCTCCTAATTTTTTAATAGCATTTATTTGATCTTTTATGTTGATTGGTTGTTCATTATTTGAACTACCAAGAGAAGTTTTTAGAAATTTACTTGCTTCCCAAATTGATTTATTGGCAAATAGTTTTTTTTCCTTTTCAACTTCTCCTATAATATATAAGCTAATTTAATTTCTTTTAACATTGTTTGACAAAAGTTAAATTGTATATTTAATTACTATTTAAATCATTAACAACGTTTTGAAGATCAGATTTCAATGAATCCAACTGTGATTGGTACTTTTGACGCTCTAATTTTTCTATAGCCGATAGTTCTTGGCGTACTCTGTTTTCAAATTCTTCCTTGGTGAAGTCTACTGCCCTGGTTATAAGGTCTGCATGTGCCTTCTTATGTGCCTTCAATTGTTCCCTTAAGTCTTCATCGACTTTGATGTTAAATTGATTTAACTAGAATATAAATTTGTAATTAGTTAACCATCATAAACAGTGGTGATTAACCTAACTTAAAATAGACAGATTAAGTACAGTGAAAGTTTGACTAAATTAACTGACTTAAAATCCTAAATAGCAATAACAATTTACAACATAATTACATGCTTTACAGTTTTGTTTGTCAACCAATAATTATTTTTCTAGTAAGAAGATAAAATAATATATTAAATATACCTGGTGTTGAAATTGTTCATCTAATTTATGTAATTCTGAATTTAAACGGGAGTTCATTTCATTTATAGTTTCAACATTCAAAAAGTCTGCATTCATTGCATTATTTATTTTACGATCAAGAGTTGCCTATGTAGAAAATGTGATGTTAAAAAAAACATTTTGACAACTAATTATTTAAAAATTTAATTTATATTATATTCACTTCTTGTTTGGAAAGATTATCTTTATAATAGTTTAGTTTTTTCAACGCATACAGAAGAAATATATCAAAATCATTATTGTTCACATTAATTTTGTGTTGAGTTATGTCTGAACCTGGAAACAATGATTCAAATTCATCCTGTAAACAAAAAAATATTATTTAAGTATTTAACTACTATTATGTTTTTATATTGTGTTCTAAAAAATTACTCTCAAGCTGGCTTGTGCTTCATTGATGTTGGACTTATATTTATTTATGTAACCCAATTTATGTTCCTCATTTTCTAATATAATACGTGCATTATTCAGTTCTTCCAAAGCTGCATTAGTTATGTGCATAGTCTTGGCTAATTTATCAGGAGTTACCTCAAATGTAGAGTTGCTTAGTAGTTTTTGGTTTTCAGATATGTCTTTCCTAAAATATAGGCATCTAAAAATCATCCAGAACCAAAACTCTTAAAGATCTGAAAGTGAAATTGATATTACCTGTATTTCTTTATATCTTCATATACATTGTTATAAACAATATTTTTCTGATCTTCAAGGATTTGCAGTTTAACACCTAAGTTAGGATCTATGTTTTCTGTAGTATTATCAATGAGCTTGTAAACATTTTCAGAATATTCTAGTTTACATATAAAAATATTAATGTTAGAAGAAAACTGAATGATTGTATATTATACCTTTTATTGCTGCAGTAGCAGTTTTTAAAGCACTAACACACAGAGAAGATTTTTTGAGAATTTCAGTTTCAAGTTCTTCTAATGTATATTTGTGAGATGGTATATTAATTAATGGCGCTGGTGGAAGTTCTTGTTTTCCTAAAAAAAACATTAGGCTTTTATTTGAAAAAATAGAATACCATATTACATAATATATGTGTAAGCACTAGGGAAAGAATAAATTGACATTATACTAAAATTAAATAAATATACCATCAGGCTTAGTCTGTATAAAATTAGTTTTGATGGATTCATCCTGTGGTTGGCTTTTTGGTTGTTGGGATTCTACAAACAAAAATTCACTAAATTATTGTTATTTAATATAGTTATTACTGTAGGATTTGGGACTTCTTGCATTTGCATGTTTCATTGTGGGGGTCTTAGACTCTAAGATCATTCTAGGTAAGATAAAAATGGATTTTATAAAAAGGTAAAATTAAATAAAAAGTTTTAATATGTATATTTTGTCATATTTTAGAAAAACTATGTTTGAACATTGATTATCATATTAGTGCATATTTTGTATTTAATTATTTTTATAAACATAATATTTTATGTCAATATCGTGTATGAATGACATTTTGGGAAAAGGTATTCCCAAATAAATTATCTTTTCTTAAGAAGTATCTTTGTTGATTAATAAGCGACATTGCTATTGTGAGTTGTACGATTAGACATCTAGATTCTATATTGAATGAAAAATTTCACTTCAGTAAGTGTTCTGGTATTTGTGTATCTTGGAAATTATTTATCATATTATCCAATTACAATGTGTATCAAGAAACTACCTATTTATCTACATCATTTTTTTTTTTTTTTATCTAAGTTGTTTTATTTTGTTTAGAAATTCCTTAACTATCAATTAATAATGGTTGTATTAATCAATACATACTTGAGTTAGGTTAAACAATTATCAATTTTTGATGTTTTGACATTATTATACCGTATGTAAATTATGGGTTTTTTTCAAAAATAAAAATTATTTTATCTTCATATTTTTATTTAGTAATT